TGTGTCATGTCTAAACAAAATACATTTGCATTTCTAAGATTCTAATTCTGAAATTAGTTTCTCAAATTTCACAGCAGTGAGCAGTGTTCCTATATGCATATGAGTGTCTGAGGAACTGTGCCCAGAAACAGTATACTTCAGCAATAAACTGGCTGTCATTAAGAGTGATTACCGTATCCTAAAGAATGAACAGTTTTAGAAGAGCAGAAAACTGTCTTCCTCTGAACAAGTAATCTGTAGAATTAAATATTTTGTAACTACTCACAGTATGCTCAATACTATATAATATGTGTATATGCAAAATTTTCTCCTCCTGAGTTGTTTTCAAGAAAAGAGATGTGGCATAAAGAGGTACAGGTATACATCCTGAGAAGAAAAATTAAGAGGTGTTTGTAAGAAGATGTTTGTTAAGTAATAACTTTATACTAGAACCTTGCAAGATAGAATCTCTATTCTGTAAATAACTAGATGTTGAAATCACAGATGCCTTCAGATATCAATTCCATATATATTTGTTGAGAACCTGCTATATATACAGGGTACTCTGCTTAACATGGTCATGAACACAAAGATGAATCAGGAGTCCCAAGTTGTTTATAGACCAGAAGAAGATGGCGGTAACTATAAAATGAGGCAGTTAAGGGCCCTGAGAGTGATACACACAGCTTTGTAGCTTGAAAGGAGAATGGAATTGTTTTCTTTGGAGGGATCCAGAATGGCTCTACAGAGGCTGTTTTACACATTTGTCAGTGTGTGCATTTCTGTGTGGGTGATTGAAAGTAGTAGGGCAGTTTTTCTCTGTGATATAGCTCTGTTTAGTATTTGATCCTTTTCCTATTCCCTGCCCCCGCTTAAGAAAAATATTGCTCTATATTAAACCTTTCGAAGCTTTTAATGGTGTTGCTGAGACAATCATTTAAGCATTTAAAATACCACATTTTAGAGGCATAGTGGTTAGCCACTGGAAACTAACCATTGGATTTGATAAAGGGGGGGAAATTTTATGTTATGGCTATGACAGAATGGAAAAATACTTTAGTGAGACGGGTCGGCATTTTAAATTGGAGCACAATAATAGCTAAAAGTGCTGAAGTCAACAGACTGCTTAGGATATGGTTATTATTTGCTGAGAAAGGCCTTTCAAGGTAGCCACCTACACATGTTTGCAACCTCACTGAGTTCGGTTCTTCCCTAAACCTGGTACTGTGACCCCTGATTGATGTTAGTGAGAGTTGTGGACTCACAGAAAAGGGAGATTGAGGTCATCAATGAATCCAAGGCAAGTACAAAGTCAGTGTAATGACAAACAGGTTATAATAGACTTACACATTACATATAACTTAGGTTGGAAACCATGCAGAGGTGATGGTGATCTTCTAATCTTCTGAGGCTGTCTTAAAAATTTTTATTTTTCCCCCAAAGCCGTTACAATATAAGTTGATTCTAGTTCACACAACTTAAAACAAAAAAGGTAGAATGGGGATACAAAGACAGTCTTAAGAGGTGATATTTATATTTGATTTATGACTTGAACGATATGAAGGAAATGGCCATGAGAGCTGGAGGATGAGAATTCTAAGGAAGAGCATCAGCAAGTGGAAAAGCAGAAATGGATGACCTTGGGCAAATTAAATTGCTTTTCCTCTCTGGGCCTCATTGTCTTCATTTGTAAAACTAGAGAGTTGGACTAAGTGAGCCGCCCTAAGGAATTTTTCAGCTCCAAAGCTCAGTGAAATAAGGACTAATTAAAATGGGCAACAGGGCCAAAGTCAAATACAGTTTTTGTTTGTTGTTTTATTGAGATATAATTGACATAACATTGTATTAGTTTAAGATGTACAGCATAATGCTTTGATATCGTGTGTGTGTATCGATATTTGTTTTTAAAGATGACGGCCATGGGGTAGCTGAAACATTGGGAAGATGATGGAGACATGGAAAGGGACAAAATGTTGGCAAGAGAAAAAATGTCAAATGAAACATGATTCCAAATTAGTGGGACAGGATGGTGTTAGGGGGAACACTTCTTTCCCATTTCTGATGGTTCCATTTTCATTTTCTTAATTACCATAACATTCCTATTACTTTACTTCTACACTCAGGGAGGTAGAATGACTTATTCTGGTAAATTTGAGAAGAAGAAACTGGGCATGCTCTGCTCAGTTCAGCTTCTCCCTTTTGTTTGTGGGTAGTAATCCTTACCACAGAGAGCTGTTCTCCTTACTTCTCCAGGCCCTAAGTCTTACCTGGGGAGTTCCTCTTCTGGAAGCTTTGACCTGAGCCAGCATTTGCCTGTGACCCTATGGGTAAATCTGTTGAATTTGAGCATTCGGTTTCTAGGTACTGCTAAACCAGGTTCTCCAGTTTAGTCTTCATTAGTAATAATGGTGATATTTTGGTTTTCTTCTGCCATACCCTTATCTTATTTCTCAGTATGTTTAGAATTTGAATGAGCAAGAAAAGTGCTGTTTATTTGACCCTCTCAAACCCTAAAAGCTGGGATTCAAGGGGAAGGGAACTAGCTTTAGCAAGAAGGGATATTGTTCTCTCTGAATCAGTCTGAATCAGGAAAAGGTAATAATTATGAAGAACTAGAGATACTCGAGGTATGATGGAGCTTCAGAGATTCAAAATCAACTCAGTAAAGTAGAAGGCCAAATAGATGAGGATGATTCAGTAGGCATGGAATTGGAAAGTGAAAAGAAAAGATTTAGCATTGCAACTATGGGGAATATACTCAAGAATCCACTGAAAAGGACCAAAGGATTGCCAGGTAGTGTGACAGACAAGATGATGTTAACAGGCTTGAATGAGTAGAGTTGTAAGGCAGCCTCATTCTCTGTCACTAGGGGCAAAAGTGGTGAAAACTGCTCTGTAGAATATATTTTATTCTTAAGATATATTAATTTTCACAAATAAATGAATAAATCCATTAGGAGTAGACAATGAATGGTTATATCAGTACTATTACAAATGCTAAACTATACTTCTTCCAATATAGTTTAGACATGTGCTTGCTTCGGCAGCCCATATACTAAAAATTGGAATGATACAGAGAGAGATAGTTTAGACAGTCACTAAGTTAACCCTTATCTCAGTTGATTCAGATTTCCATGTGTGTGTGCACGCGTGCAGAGTTTTTATTTTTTTATTAAACAATTTTTTTTTTTTTAAAGAGGCTAATCAACAAATACAGCATGGTAGCAGCCCCAAACACCAGCAGGATGAACTTTTAATGTCCATTGTTTCTCATTACATAGCTATAGTCAGTCACTTTATTGAAGGTTATTCTTTATGTGACAAATTCAATCCCTCTCATGCAGAAAAGAAAATATCCTGGCTTATTTCCTTTCCCCATTGACCTTTGTAGGACCAAAGGGAATACCACCTTCTCCATAAAGTAATTTCAAACTATTCTTTGCATCTCTGATTTCTCTCAATTCCTATTACTCTTAAAAGTCAAAGTGTACATTACCACATACAGTTTGGTAGGGAGAGGAAGAGTAGGGAGCAGGGAAGGATTTGGAGAGGTGTTTGAATTTGAACTGGGTGTTGAAGGAAAATAGAATTTGGCAGGTAGATATGGGAGGCAGGAGCCAGGAGCACTCCAGGTATAGCACATTGCTTAATCCAGAAAGCAAGGAGGTGTGGTGTCTTCAGGGAGCAGTCTGTTGAGCAGGCCCTTGGCTAGAGGACAAGGGACTGCTCCATGACTGGGAAAACAGATTATACAAGGCTGTAGGAAGCCAAATTTCTTTTTTAAGCCAGGTGAGATTTTGATGAGGGAATAGCCTGTGGAGAAGTAGAAAATGAAAATTCAATGGACTTGATTGCTGGAATGAGATTCTAGGAGGAAGGGAAGTAAGAGTCCAGTAGACATGCAGATAAAGTCAGAAGGGAAGCCTGGAAGAATTAAACAATAAAAAGGGAGGGCTCAATTTTACTTGAAAAGTCAAGCAAGTAATCTTTGTAGTTGATAAAAGAATACCTCCTAATATTTATAAATATAAAAATTGTTTTAAATTTATCTACTCTGCTAGAGTTTATTTCTTTTTTATTTTTGGTAAAAGAACAATAAAAGAACAGCATATGCTGAAAGAAATTAGGTACACAACAGGAACTGAGATAATTTCAAATAATTTTTCTTTTAGCCGGATTGCTATTATAAAATAAGAATACATTTTGATTCAGAACTTTTATGAAGAACTTGAGCATTTTATTACAACATCTGTTTCTACATTTTAATTTCTTTCTTTTTTATAGGTATTTGCATACTTTTTTTTTCAAATGAGAAGACCTTTTTGTTTGCCACAAGAAGGCTATTATCCAGAATGTTAATGGGTTTTCAGCTATTAAGATGTAATGATATACCTTGAGTATTTAACTATAAATTTGAAAAATCTCCATGAACAATCTCAAAGGAATACTTAGAATGCACTCCTGGTAAATTGGCTCATTTTCCTGTAATTTACTGGAAGCACTGATATGAGAGTAGTCCTAATGTGAAAAGTACATTAATCCCTGGAGTTACATTGTATATATTAAATTATTACTCTCAAAGAATAAAACATATGAGAACGTTTAGCCTTCATTCACATTTGTTACTTAGACTCACAGTAGAGAAACAATCACTTATCTTTGATGCATAAAATTAGAAGTGATACATTTAATATCTTTTAAAACAGGAGGTACAGTGATGCTCAGTTATGCTTTTACATAACAATTGCTCTTTCCAAAACAGGGACTGTTCTAGTCAGGAGAACAATTCTTCTGGCTTTGTGGAGGCCCTTTTTATTTCTTTGGTAATTGAAATATTTTTAGAAACCCATAATGACGCTTTCTTTGATGTCAGTCACAAAGAATAGTCTGCCTTCTAGCCATGAGCTCCTAACACATTGGGAGATTATTTAAGAAAGTAGTCAATTGTAGGAGCAGCGGTTGCAGGAACATTTAGGGTCTTACTTGGAATTTTGTCTAATTGTGTTTTTCTTCTTTGCCAGGGGACCGAAAGTTGTGGAACCATAATTTGTGACATCAGGTTTTTTTTGGTAAGCAGCCATTTATGATTCTGGATGATTAAGGCAGATAGGAAGCCCCTCCTGAGAGTTTAACAAAGCTCTCAACAACTTACACCATGAACATAAATCTGGACCCTTCTCGAGATGACCTGCCTCTCATGGCCAACACCAGCCACATACTTGTGAAGCACTATGTACTGGATTTAGATGTGAATTTTGAAAGTCAAATCATTGAAGGCACCATAGTGCTTTTCTTTGATTCTGGAAACAAATTCAGGAAAAAGAGTAGTTCCACGGAGGAAACCTGCCGACCAGAATCAAATGAAGCCTGCAAATTTAGGATGCTGGAACCATGCCATATTTCTGTGACAAATACAAGGACCTTCTCATCTAAAATGGGATACAATGATTTTGCAATCTGTGGTAAAGGTGAAAAAGATACTTCAGGTAAAGATGGTAACCATGACAACTGGAAACTGGCTTCTGAGATTTCTAGCTCAAAGTACTGCTGTGACACAGGGAATCATGGGAGTGAAGATTTTTTGCTAGTGTTGGACTGCTGTGATTTATCTGTATTAAAGGTTGAGGAGGTGGATGTTGCTGCTGTGCCAGGTATTGAAAAATTTACAAGGTCTCCCAAGCTCACAGTTGTTTCTGAGCTCAGGAATCAGATTGTACGTGAACTTGTGACTCTGCCTGCAGATCGTTGGAGGGAGCAGTTAGACTGTTATGCTCGCTGCAGCCAGGCTCCTGGCTGTGGGGAACTCCTGTTTGACACTGACACTTGGAGCTTACAGATCAGGAAGACAGGGGCTCAGACAGCTCCTGACTTTCCTCACGCCATAAGGATACTGTACAGAACCAAACCCCAGGGGCGATCAGTTACATGGACCTCAGACCAGAGTGGCAGGTAGGTTATCGGGCACTCTGCAGCCCCCT